TTTTTTTTTTTTTTTTTTTTTGGAGATGGAGTCTCACTCTGTCGCCAAGCTGGAGTGCAGTGGCATGATCTTGGCTCACTGCAACCTCCACCTCCCTCATTCAAGTGATGCTCCTGCCTCAGCCTCCTGAGTAGCTGGGACTACAGGTGGATGTCACCATGCCCAGCTAAATTTTGTATTTTTAGTAGAGACAGAGTTTCACCATGTTGGCCAGGATGGTCTTGATCTCTTGACCTCATGATCCGCCTGCCTCAGCCTCCCAAAGTGCTGGCATTACAGGTGTGAGCCAACGTGCCCTGCCAAATTTTTGTATTTTCAGTAGAGACGGTTTTTACCATGTTGATCAGGCTGGTCTTGAACTCTTGGCCTCAAGTGATCTGCCCCCTTGGCCTGCCAAAGTGCTGGGATTACCGGCATGAGCCCACACTGCTCTTGAACTGCTGCACTCAAGCGTCCTCCTCCTTGACCTCCCAAAGTTCTGAGTTTACGGGAGGGAGCCACCATGCCCAGCCTGTTCTGCCTTTGACAATCTCCCCTTTGAGGTCCTGCCTGAGAATATCCTCCTCCAGGTAGCCCTCTCTGATGCCTTCGAACTGTAACTTGCCAGCTCACAGCTCCCCTACAGCAATTAATTCTTACTGGCCAGGCGCAGGGGCTCACACCTGTAATCCTAGCACTTAGGGAGGCCGAGGCACGCAGATCACCTGAGGTCAGGACTTCGAGACCAGCCTGACCAACATGGAGAAACCCTGTCTCTATTAAAAATACAAAATTAGCTGGGTGTGGTGGCACATGCCTGTAATCCCAGCTACTCGGGAGGCTGAGGCAGAAGAATCGCTTGAACCCGGGAGGTGGAGGTTGCTATGAGCTGAGATCACGCCACTGCACTCCAGCTTGGGCAACAAGAACAAAACTCTGTCTCAAAATAAGTAAATAAATAAATAACCTTACTTCATTCCAGACTGACCTCCCTGAGGGCAGGGCCTGGGTCTCCCTGTTCTCCACTGGATCTTGAGCCTCTAGCTCAGGGCTCAGCGCACACTGGGTGCTCAACAGTGTCTGAGGATGGCACAGAACAGGTGCTCAGAGGAGAGGGCAGGTGATTGAATGGATGCCCTTTCCTCCCACAGAATGACTTTCTCACCGGTGTGTTCCCTGCCAGCCCCCTCAGCTGGCTTTTCCTCTTCAGTGCCATCCAGCTTGCCTGGTTCCTCCAGCTGGATCCTTCCTTGGGACTGATGGAAAAGATCAAAGAGTTGCTGCCCGACTGGTGAGGTTCCCCCCACTTCAGCCCAGTAGCCCCTAATCATTCTCCCTCCACCCAGTACGTTTCTCTGTCATTGGGTACCTGCTAACGAAAAATAACCTCTGAGACTTATTTTGGGTCAGATTAATAAAGGTATAGCATGAAGAAAAAGGAGGTGAGGCCAGATGCAGTGGCTCACGCCTGTAATCCCAGCACTTTGGGGGGCCAAGGTGGGCGGATCACTTGAGGTCAGGAGTTTGAGACCAGCCTGGCCAACATGGTGGAAACTTGACTGTACTAAAAATACAAAAATTAGCTGGGCATGATGGTGCATGTCTGTAATCCCAGCTACTCGGAGATGAGGCAGGAGAATTGCTTGAACCCAGGAGGCAGGGGTTGCAGGGAGCCCAGATGGCGCCCCTACACTTCAGCTTGGGAGGCAGAGCACAACACTGTCTCAAAAAAAAATTGTGAGCTTTGCTGGGTGCAGTGGCTCAAGCCCATAATTCCAGCATTTTGGGAGGCCAAGGTGGGAGGATCTCTTGAGCCCAGGAGTTTGAGACCAACCTGAGCAACGTGGTGAAATCTCATCTCTACTAAAAATACAAAAAGTTAGCTGGGTGCGGTAGCTCTCTCACCTGTGGTCCCAGCTACCCAGGAGGCTGAGGTGGGAGAATCACTTGAGCCCGGGAGGTCAAGGCTGCAGTGAGCTGAGATCAAGCCACTGCACTTCAGCCTAGGCAACCTCTGTGTCAAAAAAGAAAAAAGGCTGGGCACGGTGGCTCACGCCTGTAATCCCAGCACTTTGGGAGGCCAGGGCGGGTGGATCACCTGAGGTCAGGAGTTTGAGACCAGCCTGGACAACATGGTGAAACCCCATCTCTACTAAAAATGTAAAAATTATCGGGGGTGTAGTGGTACGCCCCTGCAGTCCCAGCTACTTGGGAGGCTGAGGCAGGAGAATCACTTGAATCTGGGAGGCACAGGTTGCAGTGAGATGAGATCTCGCCACTGCACTGCAGCCTGGGTGACAGAGCAAGACTCCATCTAAAAAAAAAAAAAAAAAAATTCCGGGAAGGCTAGATTTTACCCAGTGTACAGAGGGAAAGTGATTTTTTTTTTTTGGGGGGGACGGAGTTTTGCTCTTGTTACCCAGGCTGGAGTGCAATGGCACGATCTCGGCTCACCGCAACCTCCGCCTCCTGGGTTCAGGCAATTCTCCTGCCTCAGCCTCCTGAGAAGCTGGGATTACAGGCACACGCCACCATGCCCAGCTAATTTTTGTATTTTTAGTAGAGATGGGGTTTCACCGTGTTGATCAGGATGGTCTCCATCTCTTGACCTCATGATCCACCCGCCTCGGCCTCCCAAAGTGCTGGGATTACAGGCTTGAGCCACCGCGCCCGGCTAGGGAAAGTGATTTGACCCAAGTTCTCCAGGTGACATCTGCAAACTTTGCAAACAAACGTGTTGATTTCATGTAGCTTTAGACCAGCTTTTCCTAAACTTGAACTTGCATTGGACTCACCTGGATGGGATATTAAAATGCTGACTGGTGGACCCCGCCTGGAGAGATTCTGGCTTGTTAGGTCTCACAGGGGCCCAGGAATACGCATTTCCAACAAGCTCCCAGGCGCTGCTCCCAGGAGCCACCGTTTCAGAACTATTGTAATAGCTGGGAGGAAAGTGTCCCCTCAATAGAAACAATGGCTGTCATTTATTAAGCACCTACACCTACCAGTTTCCATGGAAAGTGACTTTGGAAGCTTGGTGCTGCCACAATGGGAGTGGCCTGGAGGGGGTGACAGAGCTCCTACTTTACAGATGACAAAAATGGGCTTCTCCATCTGACAGCCAAAAGACCAGAGCAGGGGCTGGAGGGGGCTGGAAGGGGGGGAGCTTCTGAGGCCAGGAGACCCAGGCCCAGTCTCTCTTTCTCTCCCTGCAGGGGTGGGCAGCACCACAGGCTCCGGGGGATCCTGGCAGCCGCGCTGTTTGCCTCATGTTTGTGGGGAGCCCTGATCTTCACGCTGCACGTGGCGCTGAGGCTGCTTCTGTCCTACCACGGCTGGCTTCTTGAGCCCCACGGAGCCATGTCCTCTCCCACCAAGACCTGGCTGGTATGGGAGGGGCACAGCCCTGCTCCGGCTCTCCTGGGACCCGCTTCTCTGTCCCCCTTTCTCTGTGGGTCTCTGTCCCCTTTTCTCTCGGGGTCGCTGATGCTCCGTCTCAGTCTCTGTGTCCTTCTCTTTGGGTTTCTGTCCCACTGTCGACCCCGCCCCCCTCAACCCCCTGGCCCCGGTGAGGGGTTAATGACCCCGTGACTCCTCTTCTCCAGGCCTTGGTCCGCATCTTCTCCGGCCGCCACCCGATGCTCTTCAGTTACCAGCGCTCCCTGCCGCGCCAGCCCGTGCCCTCTGTGCAGGACACTGTGCGCAAGGTGGGCGGGGTGCGCGGTGTGGGCGGGGCGTGACCGGGGTGGGCGGGGCGTGACTGGGGCGCGCGGGTGGGCGGGGCGTGACCGGGGCGCGCGGGTGGGCGGGGCGTGACCGGGGTGGGCGGGGCGTGACCGGGGCGCGCGGGTGGGCGGGGCGTGACCTGCGCTCTTCCCCTCTCCAGTACCTGGAGTCGGTCCGGCCCGTCCTGTCTGACGAGGACTTCGACTGGACCGCGGTCCTGGCGCAGGAATTCCTGAGGCTGCAGGCGTCGTTGCTGCAGTGGTACCTGCGGCTCAAGTCCTGGTGGGCGTCCAACTATGTGAGTCCCGCCACCGCCACCAAGGCCCCACCTGAAAGGCCAAGGGCGTGAGCTCGCCCTGCTGAACTTGCGAGGTCTGCGCCCCACAACGCGCAAAAAAACCCAAAAATATACAAATTAGCCGAGTGTGCTGCCATGCGGCCATAATCCTATCTGCTTAAGAGGCAGAGAATCGCTTAAACCTGGGAGGTGGAGGTTGCAGTGAGCCAAGGTCATGCCACTACAGCCTGGACAACAGAGCGAGACTCTCTCAAAACAAAGCAAAAAGAACAAAGGAGTTGAAGAGTGAACAGTGGTGGGAGAGGCCTGAGCTCCAGACTGAGGATCCTGGACTCTATCCTGGGCATACTAGGGAGGCATGGGAGGGTTTGTTGCCGGGAAGAGGCAGGGTCAGCTCTGGTGTGGGGGAGAGACTGGAGGGAGGAAGGCTGGAGAGGAAGCTACCGTGAGCCCTACCATTGTAGGTCAGTGAGACACTGTGTTGAGAATGAGAGGGGCAGGAAGAGGGTCTGCGGAAGAGCCCCAGCGGGCACCAACATGGCAAGGTCAGGTGGTCAACCTGAGGAAGGGGACGAAATGTCTGGAGAAGTAGAAGGGAATGTGGGCTTTGCTTTTCTAGTTAAATTTTTTTTTTTTCTGCACGCTTTTGGACAAGATTCTGTTTACACACACACACACACACACACACACACACACACACACGCACTTCTTTCTTCCCTTCTTTCCCTCCCTCCCCCCTCCCTCCCTTCCTTTCTTCCTTCCTTGCTCCCTCATTCCCTCCATTCCTCCTTCCCTTTCTTCCTTTCTTTTGCTTCCTTCTTTCCTTCCTTCCTTTTCCCTTCCTTCCTTCCCTTTCCTTTCTTTTTCTCTTTTCCTACCTCCCTTCCCCTCGTCGCTCCCTCCCCCTCGTCGCTCCCTCCCTCCCTCCCTCCCTCTCTCTCTCTTTTCTCCCTCTCTCTTTCTCTCTGTTACTTTCTTTCTTTCCTCCTTCTTTCTTGGAAGGGGTCTCACTCTGTCACCCAGGCTAGAGGGCAGTGGCGTCATCATGGCTCACTGCAACCTTGACCTCCCAGGCTGAAGCTGTCCTCCCACCTCGGCCTCCCGAGTAGCTGGGACTATAGGCATGTGCCACCAAGCCCAGCTAATCTTTAAGCTTTTTTGTAGAGGTGGGGTCTTGCTATGTTGCCCAGGCTGGTCTCAAGGATAGCTGGGATCAAGCTATCCTCCCACCTCGGCCTCCCAAAATGCTGGGGTAACAAGCGTGAGCCACTGCGCCTGGCCTGTATATTTTACTGTACCTCCAGGCCAACTGCCAGTAATAACACACATCATTATTTTATGTACAAGAAAAAAACCCTACAAGGCCAGCTGAAGTCTTATCATAGTTCTTTCAGTTGTGTTTTTCATTGTTTGAATTTTCTTATGCTACTGGCAAGGTAAAAAATTTCATGTATTTATACATATACATTATTTCACGTATTAATTGTTTTGTAAATTTTGCATTTATGTTCTGTTTATTTTTCTTTCTTTCTTTCTTTCTTTCTTTTTTTGAGGCAGAGTTTCATTCCTGTTGCCCAGTTGGGGGTAAGGTGGTGCGATCTCAGCTCACTGCAACCTCCACCTCCCAGGTTCAAGCGATTCTCCTGCCTCAGCCTCCTAAGTAGCTGGAATTACAGGTGCCCACCACCATACCCAGCTAATTTTTGTACTTTTAGTAGAAACAGGGTTTCACCATGTTGACCAGGCTGGTCTCGAACTCCTGACCTCAGGTGATCCGCCTGCCTCAGCCTCCCAAAGTGCTGGGATTACAGGTGTGAGCCACCTGGCCCATCCCTATTTTTTTTTTTTTTTTTTTGTATGAAATTTCACTCTTGTCACCCAGGCTGGAGTGCAATGATGCAATCTCAGCTCACTGCAACCTCTGCCTCCCAGGTTCAAGTGATTCTCCTGCCTCAGCCTCCCAAGTAGCTGGGATTACAGGCACACACCACCACGCCTGGCTAATTGTTGTATTTTTAGTAGAGACATGGTTTCATCATGTTGGTCAGGCTGGTCTTGAACTCCTGAGCTCAGGTGATCTGCCCACCTCAGCCTCCCAAAGTGCTGTGATTACAGGCGTGAGCCACCACGCCTGGTTGTACCTTGTTCTCTCCAACAGCTGTGTGATATCCTGTGTTATTCCACTGCCGGAGTGTAACAGGGTTTAGCTAACTGAACCCCCAGGGCTGGATTTCTAGGTGATTGCTAGTTACTGACTGTGATATAGCTGGCTTCTTTGGCTCTATCCTCCCTGCCTGACACAGGAACATTCGGGGGCTTCCCTGTCCCGCTGTCCCTCCCCCAGCAAGGCCCTAGCCCCCTCACTGTGTCTCCCTACCCTGCTTAGGTCAGTGACTGGTGGGAGGAATTTGTGTACCTGCGCTCCCGAAATCCACTGATGGTGAACAGCAACTATTACATGATGGTGAGAAGGGGAGCGTTTCTGGAGCAGGGTGAGATTCCTAGGCCCTGGGTCTGGGGTTGAGGTACCTGGGTGGAATGTGACGTTCATGCTCAGTCAGCTGGATCTGGACGCACAGGCTGGGATTCATCATTCTGTCCTGTTTTGGGGTCAGGACCTGTGTTTGGGTCAGTGGCCCCATTGGGGCAAACCTGATCACGGGCGTTTTGCCGTCCCCTCTGCTGGTCCCCAGGACTTCCTGTATGTCACGCCCACACCTCTGCAGGCAGCTCGCGCTGGAAACGCCATCCATGCTCTCCTCCTGTACCGTCACCGCCTGAACCGCCAGGAGATCCCCCCGGTAAGAGGGGCCCAGTGGGCTAGGGTGGAGCTGTGGTCCTGTGGCGTGGGTCCTGGAAAGCAGCTCACAGCCCGCGGTTTCCTGCAGACTTTGCTGATGGGAATGCGTCCCTTATGCTCTGCCCAGTACGAGAAGATCTTCAACACCACGCGGATTCCAGGTGTCCAAAGAGGTGAGACTCCTCCCATCCCCACTGATGGGGGGAGAACAATATCGTGGCTAAGAGCATGCTTTCTGGAGTCCACCTGCCTGAGTTAGGGTCCATCACTTCCTTGCTGTGTGACCCTCTGCATGTTATTACCCTCTCTGGGCCTCGGCTTTCACTAAAGCAGGATAATAATAATGGTACCTAGGGGTGGGCACAGTGACTCACACCTGTAATCCCAGCACTTTGGTCGGGGGGCAAGGAGGAGCATTGTTTAGGCCAGGAGTTCAAGACCAGCCTAGGGCAGCGTAATGAGATCCAGTCTATAATAAAATTTAAGAATTAGTCAGGCATGGTGGTATGTGCCTGAGGGTCCAGCTACTCAGGAGCCTGAAGTGGAAGGGTCACCTGAGCCCGGGAGGGTTCGGCTGCAGTGAGCCGAGAGCATGCCACTGCACTCCAGCCTGGATGACAGAGTGAGACTCTGTCTCCAAAACATGAGTAAATAAACGTTCTAGGGTGCTGACGATTACTAGGGTGCTTTGAACAGTTGACAGCACCTAAGAAGTATGTAATGAATGATTGTTATTTGGTGGCTCATGCCTGTAATCCCAGCACTTTGGGAGGCTGAGGCAGGCCATCATGAGGTTAGGAGTTTGACACCAGCTTGGCCAACATGCTGAAACTCCATCTCTACTAAAAATACAAAAAGTAGACAGGTGTGGTGGCATGTGCCTGTAATCCCAGCTACTCATGAGGCTGAGAAAGGAGAATCGCTTGAACCCGGGAGGCGGAGGTTGCAGTGAGCCGAGATTGCACCACTGTACTCTAGCCTGGGCAACAGAGCGAGAGCCTGTCTCAAGAAAATAAAAAGGTCATTGTACTTCTGTGGCTGGCCTTCCTGCCCCTACGCTTCTGCCAACACCACCCTAGACTACATCCACCACCTCCACGACAGCCAACATGTGGCTGTCTTCCACCGAGGCCGATTCTTCCGCGTGGGGACCCACTCCCGAAACAGCCTGCTTTCCCCGAGGGCCCTGGAGCAGCAGTTTCAGCGAATCCTGGATGATCCGTCACCGGCCTGCCCCTATGAGGAACATCTGGCCGCTCTGACCGCTGCTCCCAGGTAGGGGTCAGGGATCAGGGGTCAGGGCTTAGGGGCTCTCAGGGGTCGCCAGTGTCCTGCGGCTGTGGAAGGGCAAGGGTGGGGCTGGGTGGCTGGGTAGGGTGGACTCAGACACATCTCGGGCCCTCCAGGGACACGTGGGCCCAGGTGCGGACGTCCCTGAAGACCCAGGCGGCAGAGGCCCTGGAGGTGGTGGAAGGGGCTGCTTTCTTTGTGTCACTGGACGCTGAGCCCGCGGGGCTCACCAGGGAGGACCCGGCGGCGTCGTTGGATGCCTATGCCCATGCCCTGCTGGCCGGCCGGGGCCATGACCGGTGAGTCAGTCGTGGGATGGAGCCCCCAGAGGTGGCACCCCAGAATCCAGTATGAGACCTAGGACCCCCAATGCAGCCTGACCTGGGAGCCCACACCTGCAGAGAGCTGAGGACCCCAGACCCAATGCTTTGGAACCTGGAGACCTCTGACTTGGGGAACCCCTCGATCTGGGATGCATGACCTGTATCCCAGACACAGTGACCCCCAAATCTGAGACTCCCAAAACCCTGAGCTGGACCCTCAGACCCAGAGAACCCCTCAATCTGGGACCCCAGGTTCAGAACCCACACTCAGCATCCCACATCCAGGGACCCCAGACCTGAGGACCACCAAACCCAGGACTCCTAGGCCCCGGGACCCCAGACTTGGAGACCTCAGCCTCAGAACTTGAACCATTTAATCCTCAGGCCTTAATGCAGGTACCCCAACCCATGGCCCTAGACCCTGACTTCCAGACCTAGAGATTCTCAGGCCTGGCAGGCACTGAATTCCTAGGCCCAAGGGAGTCCCGCTGACTTCCCAACACCCCCAAAAGCCTTGAACCTTCCTCAGCAAGTTCCCTAAAAATCTCCAAACTCTAGACCGGGCGTGGTGGCTCACGCCTGTAATCCCAACACATTGGGAGGCTGAGAAGGGCAGATCACCTGAGGTCAGGAGTTCAACACTGACCTGACCAATATGGTGAAACCTTGTCTCTACTAAAAATACCAAAATTAGGCTGGGCAAGGTGGCTCATGCCTATAATCCTTGAGAGGCCAAGGTGGGAAGATCACAAGGTCAGGAGTTCAAGACCAGCCTGGCCAGTATGGTGAAACCTCGTCTCTACTAAAAATATAACTAGCCAGGTGTGGTGGTGGGTGCCTGTAGTTCCAGCTATTCAGGAGGCTGAGGCAGGAGAATCGCTTGAACCCCGCAGGTAGAGGTTGCAGTGAGCCGAGATCATGCCATCGCACTCCAGCCTGGGCAACAGAGCAAGACTCCACCTCAAAAAAGCAAAAATTAGCTGGGCATGGTGGTATGTGCCTATGGTCCCAGCTACTTGGGAGGCTGAGGCAGGAGAATCACTTGAACCCTCAGCTACTCGGGAGGCGGAGGTTACAGTAAGCAGAGATGTTGCCACTGCACTCCAGCCTGGGTGACAAGAGTGAAACTCCATCTCAAAAAAAAAAAAAAGACAAAAAAAAATCTCCAAACTCTAAATCCCAGACATGTCTTGGAGACCTCCAGAGCCACTACTGGGGACCCCCAGTGGTGTGGAGATCCCCACACCAGCACCTGATGGCACCCCACATCTCCCCATCTAGAAAACTCCCTCAAGTCCCTCAGAAAGCACCCCGAGTTTTCCCTGCCCTGCTCTCTCGGTGACCCCTCTGAACTCTCCCCGACAGCTGGTTTGACAAATCCTTCACCCTAATCGTCTTCTCCAATGGGAAGCTGGGGCTCAGCGTGGAGCACTCCTGGGCCGACTGCCCCATCTCAGGACACATGTGGGAGGTAGGGCAGCCAGCACTCCCTGGTTCTGGGGACCCCTGCCCTATCTCTGAAGACTGTCCTCTCCAGGGCCTTAGGGTCAGAAAAAAAAAAAAAAAAAACTGAGGTTCAGGGAGAGGCAGAGGCTGGCCTAGGGTCTCCCAGCAAAGAAAGGGGTCTAGGATGAGGATTTCCCTTTGATGAGCTGGTAAATGGGGCTCAGAGAAAGGAGGTGATTTTCCCAGAGTCACACATCAAGGAGTTACAGAGCAAGAAGATGACTCCAGGCTGGGCACAGTGGCTCACACCTGTAATCCTAACGCTTTTGGAGGCCAAAGTGGGCGGATCACAAGGTCAGGAGTTTAAGACCAGCCTGGCCGACATGGTGAAACCCTGTCTCCACTAAAAATACAAAAAAAAAAAAAAAAAAAATTAGCTGGGCGTCGTAGCAGGCACCTGTAATCCCAGCTACTCCGGACGCTGAGGAAGGAGAATCACTTGAACCTGGAAGCAGAGGTTGCAGTGAGCCGAGACCACACCATTGCACTCCAGCCAAGACTCCAGAACAAGACTCTGTTTCTTTTTATTATTATTATTAATTTTTTTTTTGAGACAGAGTCACACTCTTGCCCAGGCTGTAGTGCAATGGCTCGATCTCAGCTCACTGCAATCTCCGCCTTTTGGGTTCAAGCAATTCTCCTGCCTTAGCCTCCCGAGTAGCTGGGACTACAGGTGTGTGCCACCACACCCAGCTTAATTTTTTTTTTTAATTTTATTTTTGACAGACGGGGTTTCACCATGTTGGCCAGGCCAGTTTTGAACTCCTGACCTCAAGTGATCCTCCCATCTTGGCCTCCCAAAGTGCTAGGATTACAGGAATGAGCCACCAGCCCAGCCTGAGACTCTGTTTCAAAAAAAAGCAAAAACTAGCCAGGCATGGTGGTGCATGCCTGTGGTCCCAGCTACTCAGGAGGCTGAGGGAGGAGGATGGCTCGAACTCAGGAGTTTGAGGCTGCAGTGAGTTATAATTTCACCACTGCACACCAGCCTGGATGACAGAGCAAGATCCTGTCAAAAAAAAAAGAAGTACAGGGACAGTAGACACCAGTTGAGTATTGGTAATACTCTATTGGTTCTTCATGAACATGAACCTCACTGAGGCCCCATCTGTGAACATCAGAGGTTTCTGTTTCTCAGCGACTGCCCCCACCCCAAAAAGAGACATATGACAAGAGGTCCTGGGTTAGATGGCCTCAGTCCACAGGGCGGAAGGGACTCTGACAGCCTCTGTTTGCCCACAGTTCACTCTGGCTACAGAATGCTTTCAGCTGGGCTACTCAGCAGACGGCCACTGCAAGGGACACCCGGACCCCACACTACCCCAGCCCCAGCGGCTGCAATGGGACCTTCCAGACCAGGTGAGGCTGGGTTTCTGGCCTTTCCTCCAAGTTCCAAGATTCCTAGCGTTGACACCAAACTCATTCCCACCCCCAACTGATACCCACACTTCCCCCACCCTCGAAATCAGGCCAAATGCATCCACAACCTCTAACCCCAACCCTAACCTCATCCGTAGCCCAAACTCCAACCCTCCTCCCACTACCAATCCCATCCTCAACTCCAGCCCCATCTCTACCCTCTTCAGACTCAAAACCACCACTGTCCAACCCCAGCGCCAACCCCACTCCATTTTCCTTCTAAATTCATCTCCATGGCCAATCCCATCCCAACACCACAACTACACCTCAACTGAATCCCACATTCATGCTAACTCCATCCCATACCCAACTGCAATCCCATACCCAACCCCAACCCCATATCCAACCCCAACCCCGTACCCAACGCTAACCCTGTACCCAACCCCAACCCCGTACCCAACCCCAACCCTAACCCCATACCCAACCCCAACCCCATACCCAACCCTAACCCCGTACCCAACCCCAACCCTAACCCCATACCCAACCCCAACCCTAACCCCATACCCAACCCCAACCCTGTACCCAACCCTAACCCCGTACCCAACCCTAACCCCGTACCCAACCCCAACCCCGTACCCAACCCCAACCCCAACCCCATACCCAACCCCAACCCCATACCCAACCCCAACCCAACCCCGTACCCAACCCCAACCCCGTACCCAACCCCATACCCAACCCCAACCCCGTACCCAACCCCATACCCAACTCTAACCCCGTCCTGTACTCAACCCACCTCCAACCACAACCCATGCCCAACTTCACTTCCATACCCAACCCCCTTCCCTGTTCCATTCCCAAACCACTCACTCCCACCTCCATCCCCATCCCCAACCCCAGCTTCAACTGTGGCCCAACCACAATCTTGTAATCCTGTTCCAGTCTGCACTGCTATTCCTATCCCCATCTTTTTTTTTTTTTTTTGAGATGGAGTTTCACTCATGTTACCCAGGCTGGAGTGCAATGGCGCGATCTCGGCTCACTGCAACCTCCGCCTCCTGGGTTCAGGCAATTCTCCTGCCTCAGCCTCCTGAGTAGCTGGGATTACAGGCACGTGCCACCATGCCCAGCTAATTTTTTTTTTTTGTATTTTTAGTAGAGATGGGGTTTCGCCATGTTGGCCAGGCTGGTCTCAAACTCCTGACCTCAGGTGACTCGCCTTGGCCTCCCAAAGTGCTGGGATTACAGGCGTGAGCCACGGCGCTTGGCCCGATCCCCATCTTTAATCTCATTCTTCTGTTCTCTTCTCTTCTTTGTCCCCATTTCCACATTCTGCCCCAACCCCAACTCCACGTCCACCTTCGCTTCCAGCCTCATTGCTGGCTTTCACGCTGCCCCCATCTGTAACCCCAGCCATCCTTCTTCCCTCCTGCCCCTGCAGATCCACTCCTCCATCTCTGTAGCCCTGCGGGGAGCCAAGATCTTGTCTGAAAATGTTGACTGCCACGTCTTTCCATTCTCCCTGTTCGGCAAGAGCTTCATCAGACGCTGCCACCTCTCTTCAGACAGCTTCATCCAGATCGCCTTGCAGCTGGCCCACTTCCGGGTCAGTTGGGTTCCCCAAGCACAGCCCCCTCAGGATTTCTGTCCACCCGAGCCCCACAACCTGCCCCTCCACAGTTCCTTGTGGTCATTGCCATTGCGGGTCTACCATCTTGGATTCTCTCTCCCAACCATTCTTGGGCTGGCTGGAGGAGGCTGGAGGTCTGGACAGAAATGGGTCAAGTCTATACGACTTCCTGAGCCCAGCTGACAGCCTCCTCTCCTCCTCGTCCCCCAGGACAGGGGTCAATTCTGCCTGACTTATGAGTCGGCCATGACGCGCTTGTTCCTGGAAGGCCGGACAGAGACGGTGCGGTCTTGCACGAGGGAGGCCTGCAGCTTTGTGAGAGCCATGGAGGACAAAGAGAAGACAGTGGGTATAGGCCTCGCTGGAGGCTTCAGTCATTGCCGTGTTCTCACTCGTCCACTTGCAAACATTGATGGGAACTACGGAAGCCAGGCTCCACGATGGGCACGAGGGAAAGGGATGAATCAGAACTGGCCACTGACTTCAAAGAGCTCACTGATGGGGGGAGACAGCCCAGCTTAGTGTGATATCTGCTTTCATGGTGGTCTCACGGGACACTGGGAGAGCACCCAAGAAGGAACTCCATTTCTTTTCTTTTCTTTCTTTTTTTTTTTTTTTTTTTTGAGAGGGGGGGTCACTCTTGTTGCCCAGGCTGGAGTGCAATGGCGCGATCTCGGCTCACCGCAACCTCCGCCTCCTGGGTTCAGGCAATTCTCCTGCCTCAGCCTCCTGAGTAGCTGGGATTACAGGCACGTGCCACCATGCCCAGCTAATTTTTTGTATTTTTAGTAGAGACGGGGTTTCACCATGTTGACCAGGATGGTCTCGATCTCTTGACCTTGTGATCCACCCGCCTCGGCCTCCCAAAGTGCTGGGATTATAGGCGTGAGCCACCACGCCCAGCCGTTTTTTTTTTTTTTTTTTTTTTTTTGAGACAAAGTCTCTCTCTGTTGCCCAGGCTGGAGTGCAGTGGCGTGATCTCGGCTCACTGCAACCCCTCTGCCTCCCGGGTTCAAGAAATTCTATTGCCTCAGCCTCCTGAGTAGCCGGGACTATGGGCATGTGCCACCACGCCTGGCTAATTTTTTGTATTTTTGGTAGAGATGGGGTTTCACCATGTTGGCCAGGAGGGTCTCGATCTGACCCCGTGATCCGCCCGCCTCGGCCTCCCAAAGTGCTGGGATTACAGGCTTGAGCCACCGAGCCCGGCCTCCCATTTCTTTTTTTTTTTTTTTTTGACACAGAATCTTGCTCTGTCACCCAGGCTGGAGTGCAGTGGTGTGATCTTAGCTTACTGCAACCTCCACTTTTCAGGTTCAAGCAGTTCTCCTGCCTCAGCCTCCCGAGTAGCTACGATTACAGGCACACGCCACCATGCCCAGCTAGTTTTTTTGTAGAGATGGGATTTCACCATTTTGGCCAGGCTGGTCTCGAACTCCTGACCCCAGGTGATCCCCCCCCCAGCACCCCACCTTGGCCTCCCAAAGTGCTGGCGTGAGCCACAGCGCCTGGCCAGGACTCCATTTTTGCAACGTAACTCTGCCCATTTAACCTCTACGTGACCTTGTGACCTTCCTTTGTGACATTTCTCATACCCTCTCTGCCCAGATCCCACCTGCCCTGCACCTCTGCGCCCTCACCCCACACCTACAAGGTACTGTGGTTCTGTGGAAGGAGTTTGGGCTCTGGGGTCAGACACACCTAGGAACCCTCCTGGCTCCCCTGGCTGTGTGAACCTGGACACATGATTTCCCCTCTCTAAGCCTCAGTTCCCCATCTGTAAAATGAGGTTGATATTTCCACCTTGCAGGGATGTGGCAAGCTGGGTTGAGGCCAGGTATGCTGCGGGCCCAGCACTAAGTCGACTTCCTGTCTTTCCATGACCTGTGACCATGACCTGGGGACCCCAGGACCCACAGTGCCTCGCCCTGTTTCGCGTGGCAGTGGACAAGCACCAGGCTCTGCTGAAGGCAGCCATGAGCGGGCAGGGAGTGGACCGCCACCTCTTCGCGCTCTACATCGTGTCCCGATTCCTCCACCTGCAGTCGCCCTTCCTGACCCAGGTTGGGGCACAGGGAAAGGGTTAGAGAGGGAGGTGGGAGATCGTGGAAGAAGGGAGAGGCTTCAGGAAAGGAGGGTGTTGTTGGAAAAGGGCGCATCAAGGCCGGGCGCAGTGGTTCACGCCTGTAATCCCAGCACTTTGAGAGGCCGAGGTGGGCGGATCACTGGATGTCAGGAGTTGGAGACTAGCCTGGCCAACAGGGTGAAACCCCGTGTCTACTAAACATACAAAAATTAGAGGGGCCACCACATTAGGTGGTGGGCGCCTGTAATCCCAGCTACTTGGGAGGCTGAGAGAGGAGAATCCCTTGAACCCAGGAGGTGGAGATTGCAGAGAGCCCAGATCGCACCACAGCACTCCAGCCTGGACAGGGCAAGACTCTGTATCAAAAAAAAAAAAAAAGGAGGGTGATGTTGGAAAAGGACGCACCAGCAGAGACGCCAGAGAGAGCAGGGGCAAGAAAGGCGGAAGGCAGAGAGGCTAAGGGAGCAGAGCGAAGGGGAGAGGGTCAGAGCAGGGGCTAGGCAGAAGGGGCGTGGTCATAGGAGGGGCGTGGTCTGTGGAGGGGAGAGGGACGGTTGGTGGGAAGAGGGGGGTGTGGCCAGAGGGGCGTGGCCAGGAGGACGGCGTGGTCAGGGAGAAGGTCGCCGGGATTTAGGGGTGAGAAGGGGCCAGGGAAGTAGAGCCAAGGACCAGACCTGCAGATTTCTGTCCCGCACATGTGATGGTCTTGTGTCCTCAGGTCCATTCGGAGCAGTGGCAGCTGTCCACCAGCCAGATCCCTGTTCAGCAAATGCACCTGTTTGACATCCACAATTACCCGGACTATGTTTCCTCGGGCGGTGGATTCGGGCCTGTGAGTGGAGCTGGGGGCGCGGCCCCTAGACGCTAAGGAAAGAGGGGGCTGGGGGCCGGCACGCCTGCGTAGTGGGGGAGGAGGGCAGCGGAGCTGTTTTCTTCCCTTCACTCTCTCCGACTCCAGGCTGATGAGCATGGTTATGGTGTTTCTTATATCTTCATGGGGGATGACATGATCACCTTCCACATCTCCAGCAAAAAGTCAAGCACAAAAACGGTGAGACAAACGTGTGTACCCACCAACTCCCTCTTTCCTCGGGAACCAGGAGTCCAGGCCCCCAGCCCCTCCTCCCTCAGACCCAGGAGTCCAGGCCCCAGCTCCCTCCTCCCACAGACCCAAGAGTCCAGGCCCCCAGCCCCTCCTCCCTCAGACCCAAGAGTCCAAATCCCTAGTACCTCCTCCCTCAGACCCAGGAGTCCAGGCCCCCAGCCCCTCTTTCCTCAGACACAGGAGTCCAGGCCCCCAGCCCCTCCTTCCTCAGACCCAGGAGTCCAGGCCCCAGCCCCTCCTTCCTCAGACCCAGGAGTCCAGGCCCCCAGCCCCTCCTTCCTCAGTCCCAGGAGTCCAGGCCCCAGCTCCCTCCTCTCTCAGACCCAAGAGTCCAAATGCCTAGTACCTCCTCCCTCAGATCCAGGAGTCCAGACCCCCAGCCTCTCCTCCCTCAGACCCAGGAGTCCAGGCCCCAGCTCCCTCCTGCCTCAGACCCAGGAGTCCAGGACCCCAGCCCTCTTATTTCTCAGCCTCCAGGATCCCGTCTCCCAGCTCCCCCTGACTCTGACACGGTTATTCTTCCAGGACTCCCACAGGCTGGGGCAGCACATTGAGGATGCCCTGTTGGATGTGGCCTCCCTGTTCCAGGCGGGGCAGCATTTTAAGCGCCAGTTCAGAGGTTCAAGGGAGGAGGACTCGAGGCGCAGGTGCGGATTTCTTTCCCGCCAGACTGGGGCCTCCAAGACATCTATGACATCCCCTGAAATCTGACTCCTTCCAGCAGGCAGCAGGCCTCCCCTTGGGAATGAGGGTGACGATGGCCACCTCTGGGATGGCACAGGACAGGTTAGCCTGTTTGGCAACCCCACATCCAGGCCAATAAAGATGTGTGAGCTGGGTGTGTGGTGTCTGCTGTGCTCGTGGGCAGGTCAGGGAAGAGGTGAGGACCAGGGTGGGGGAGGACAGATGCTCCCATCCATTCCCAGGCCCAGCCAGGGATTCCCAGTGGCAGTCACAACTTCAACCACAGCTCACAACACCTGCTTAGTGTCCTCCATGTCCATCTTCGTTCTTACCAATCAAACACAACCTCACAGTTTCTCCTGAGCCTAATTGCTGCTGCCCCAGCACCACCATCTACCTCAAATCCATCTCCAAACCTAAAGATCCAGCCACCTCGACTGACAATCCCCAAACAAGCCGGGCATGGTGGCTCACACATATAATTCCAGCACTTTGGGAGGCTGAGTTGGTCAGACCGTGAGGTCAGCAGATCCAGACCATCCTGCCCAAAATGGTGAAACCCCATCTCTACTAAAAATACAAAAGTTAGCTGGATGTGGTGGCATATGCCTGTAATCCCCGCTAGTCAGGAGGCTGAGGCGGGAGAATCACTTTAGAGAGTCGGAGGTTGCAGTGAGCCAAGATCATGCCACTGCATTCCAGCCTGGGTGACAGAG